CCTCCCGCCCTGGGTTTTGCGTTCCATGGAATTTTTTTGTCCTGGATCACCTCCATCCCATTGGAATTCTGATGGGATTGATGGGACTCCATGTCCGATTCCAGGGAATTCCGGCCCATGGAAGTGTCCGGCTGGATTTGGGCACCTGGTGGTGCTTCCATTGGGAATTGTCCCATTCCAGGATGGAAAAACCCCCTCGGGAAAAAAAACTGGAATAAACCCCCAGAGAATTCCCATTCCAGGTGGACAAATGCACCACAATATTCCCAAAAATCACTTCCGACAATCCCAAAAATCCAGGACATTTTAATTTCCGTGGGATTTCATGGGAACGACCAGAAGTGAATTCCAGGTGAAAGATTTTGGGTTTGGTTTAAACAATGCTTCCCTTGGGAATTCCTGGAATTCTCCAAATTTCTGGCTCTGTTTTCCAGGATTCCTGATTGCTCTTTCCTAGGGAAAGGAGCCCAAATCCCAGGAAGAGCATCCAGAGGGAGCTGGGGGAGCTGATCCCAGAAAAAAGGAGGACCAGGAGGGACCTTTTCCCTCCAGAATTCCATGGCAGAGGTGGCAGCCGGGTGGGATTTGGGATCTGCTCCCAGGAAATCCCAGGGAACAGCCTCCAGCTGTGCCAAAGGAATTCCAGGTTGGATATTGGGAAAAAAATCCTGAATTTTCACATAGAATTAGGAAGAACTCCTGAATTTCCACAGAATTAGGAAGAATTCCTGCTCTTAGGAGAATTCCTCCCTCCGGAAGCATCCTGGGATTCTCCTTCTCTGCACTTGGTTCCAGGATTTCTGATCCTGTTTTCTGGGATTTCTGACCCTGTTTTCCGGGATTTCTGATCCTGTTTTCTGGGATTTCTGACCCTGTTTTCCGGGATTTCNGCCACTTCCCCCCCAATGTCACTGTCCCCAAATCCCACAGATTCCACCACGGGATGTTATCCTGTGGAACCCAAAATCAGGGGCTCCAAGGAGGAGCAGCCAGGACAGGGATGGATTCCACCCTCTGGATTTGGGAATGGGGATCCAGGAGTGTCCAGGGGTGGTGCCACTTCCCCCGCAATGTCACTGTCCCCAAATCCCACAGATTCCACCACGGGATGTTCTGTGGAACCCAAAACCAGGGGCTCCAAGAACATCCCAGGGCAGGGATGGATTTCACCTCTGGATTTGGGAATGGAGATCCAGGAGCATCCAGGGGTGGTGCCACTTCCCCCATGATGTCCCCTGTCCCCAGATCCCATGGATTCAACCCAGGGACCCAAACCCTGGAGCTCCAAGGAGGAACGGCTTCATCCCAGGACAGGGATGGATTCCACCCTCTGGATTTGGGAATGGTGAGCCAGGAGTTTGCTCTTGGTGTCCCAGGCTGGTGCCACCACCCCTGTGGTGTCCCCTGTCCCCAAAATCCCCTGGATTCAACCCTGGGACCCAAACTCTGGAGCTCTGAGGAGAAACAGCCTCAAACAGCTTTATCCAGGGACAGGAAATGGATTCCACCCTCTGGATTTGGGAATGGGGAGATCCAGGAGCATCCAGGGGTGGTGCCACCTCCCCCATGGTGTCCCCTGTCCCAAAATCCCACAGATTCCACCATGGGATGTTATCCTGTGGAACCCAAAATCAGGGGCTCCAAGGGGGAACAGCCTCATCCCAGGGCAGGGATGGATTCTACCCTCTGGATTTGGGAATGGAGATCCAGGATTGTCCGGGGGTGGTGCCACCTCCCCCATGGTGTCTCCTGTCCCCAGATCCCATGGATTCAACCCAGGCACCCAAACCCTGGAGCTCCAAGGAGGAACGGCTTCATTCCAGGACAGGGAATGGATTCCACCTCTGGATTTGGGAATGGTGAGCCAGGAGTTTGCTCTTGATGTCCCGGGCTGGTGCCACCACCCCTGCAGTGTCCCCTGTCCCCAAATCCCCTGGATTCAACCCTGGGACCCAAACTCTGGAGTTCTGAGAAGAAACAGCCTCAAACAGCTTTATCCAGGGACAGGAAATGGATTCCACCCTCTGGATTTGGGAATGGGGAGATCCAGGATTGTCCGGGGCTGGTGCCACTTCCCCCCCAATGTCACTGTCCCCAAATCCCAAAGATTTCACCATGGGATGTTCTGTGGAACCCAAAACCAGGGGCTCCAAGAACATCCCAGGGCAGGGATGGATTCCACCCTCTGGATTTGGGAATGGGGAGATCCCGGGCTGGTGCCACCTCCCCCGCGGTGTCCCTGTCCCCGTCCCTGTCCCCGTCCCTGTCCCTGTCCCGTCCCACCTGGTTGTAGAGGGCGCAGATGTGCAGGGCGGTGTTTCCTGAGGCGTTCTGCGCCGCCA